TGTCATTGGGTACAATGTGGATGTAGCTGGAGGATATTATGTTAAGTGAAGTACATGAAGCATAGAAAGACAAACATCACAATCTCACAAAGGTAACTGGAGAAAGACAATTTTAGAGAAGTGGAGAGAACAGTGGCTGCCAACGATGAGTGTCACAGGAGAGAGTGGACAGGAGGGGAAGCCCAGCTCCAGGAAGAGTGGCACACAATGTGAATACAATCAACAGCAGTGACTTGTATGTCTCAGGAATGGATCTGCTAATTACTACAAATTGATCAGAACTCAATGTATACAAGAATAATGTCACAATTTTTGTATCTCAAAATTAGAAGTTGTTTGAAAAGCAAGCAAATAAGTAAATAGTTCTACGTCTGTCCTGGACAACTAACGCGTTCCTAGGATATTTTCTTCATGTGGCAAAAGGAGGTACTTTTTGTTTATGAAATAAAAAACACAGTCCCTTGACTTTGTTCACTCAGCATGTGATATTTAAATATTTTTGTGACCCAGGATAATTTTATCTTGTTTTTCATGTCATTGGTTTTGTGGCTAATTACAAACAGAGATTGTTCTATAATTTCATTGGTGAATTGTTGTATTTTGTCTGTTATTCTTTTATTATTATTATTATTATTATTATTATTATTACTTTTAAAGTAAGTGGAGATAATGTGGCTATGAAAATCTTCCTAAACCACCTAGATACACATTTCAAAAATCTACATTGACAACAATATATGTGCACTCATTTTTATATCAGCACAATTTGTAATAGCTAAATCTTGGAAATAGCACAAATGCCCGTCAACCAAGAAATGGATAAAACATGCTGTAGTCTTTTTATACAGTGGAGTACTACTCAGCAATGAAGGGGCTGGGGAGATGGCTCAGTAGAATAAGCGCTTGCCTGGCAAGCACAAGGACCTGAGTTCAATCCCCAGTTCCGAAAACAAAACAAAACAAACAATAAAAAGGATAAACTGGAGACTTTCATAGGTAAATGGATACAACTCGAGTCTATACTCATAACTGAAATAAATTAGACTCAATTGTCTCCCTAGTGTGAAAAGCTGAAAGAGTAAATAAGATGCTATAAACAGATATCTATTCTGGCAATAATGTCATGTTAGCCTGCCAAAGTTTTTCTTCCTTTTCAAAATTGTTTCAATGATTTTGGGTCTTTTGGATTTTCATATCAATTTTAGAAAAGGCTTCCAATAAAAAACCTGGAATTTTCATTAGAATTAGGTTATTAGGGCCATTGAGATAGTTCACAGTCTAAAGCGCCTGCTTAGGCAATCTTAAGCAACTGCTCAGGGACCACAGTTCAATCCACAGCACCCCAGGTTGTGCCAGCTCTGCCCCCCAGGGTGGGCTGAGCCAGCCACAAAAAAAAAAAAAGAATTAGATTATTAGATCAATTTTTGGAAAATTGTTACTTCAAGTATTTCCCCTTAAAATGTTTCTTGAAATCGTTAATTTCTCACCATTGCTTTTCTCCATTTCTCTATACAATTTTTAAAATTTTGTGCAATTTATCACTATTTCACATTTTGATACTATTGTACACAATGCGTTTTGTTTTGTTTGTCACCATGAAGTGGAAGTATGGTTGCTTTTCAATAATCTTTATTTCATTAAAAAATCTATGTTGAGAATTATATATTCATATGGAATTAATGTGACATACATGTATTGATAAATGAGTGAAAACATAGGAATATTTAAATAAAACATTTTAAGATGGGCACCAACATGAAAGCTCACCTCTACCTCTGAAATGACAGTTGGCATCAGGCCATATGTGCCGAGTGTATGGACATCTTTGCATATACTGAAATTTGTTGATTTTGTAATTAAATTAGCACCTCAATTAAGTGTGAAGAATCATCATCTGTACTGTTTTTTTTTTCAACTCAGTTTTTATTTTTGAAAAAAATTCTTGGCATCATTGCAACAATGTTGAAAATGTTTATGAAATTCTACTCAAGGAGTCATGGGCCTTCCATACCTTTGGCATTCATACTAGTACATTAAAATCTTCTCTTAAAAGGATAAAAGTGAAAATTAGGGCTCAGAAAACTCAATGACATGTACAAAAGTCACAGCTGAATATCTCTTTATATTTATGATTACCTAATTTGCACACATATAAAACATAATTTATGCCTAACAAAGGAGTCTGACTTCTTGCTACACATAATTACATAAAGAGTTCTTTATTTCTGAGTACAGTATTAGAGAAGTGGTTAGTGTTTTAGATGCAAAGTTCCTGCAGTAAGGTTGAGCAGAAACAAGGGACAGAAGTGAATGATATAGCAATGGCCCCTGGGGTCAGGAAATCAACCATTATCCATCGTTCACTTCTATCAAGTTGGTCTTTGAGGTTATGCACCTCTGGGATCATAACCATAGAGAAATACCTGGCACTTGAGCTATGGAGCACAAGGTACAGAGAGACAATAGATGTCAGCCTATGACCACATCTTTCATCAGTGTAGGGAACAATACGGGAGCATCCCCTCAGAGATGATCCTTCTGGACCAGGAGACCATCCACTCCATTAATCAGTCTACCCTCCTGGAAGGCAGATTTCTACCTTCAATATCCAGGTGAGATGCTGAACAACAGTTCTCTTGAATGGAAGTCTTTTAGCTAATGCTTTGAGTGGGTGGGTAAATATGCATTACTAGCATTTCATCCTGGGAAGAAATGAAGAGAGAAGAAGTTATAGAAATGGAAAACAAGTACCTGCTGCCACTTTCCCTTTATGCAGTCTCCTGATGCTTGTACTTCTACACACCCAATGTTTTTTGTGTTGGTCTCATAGAAGGACAACCCATTTCAAAGGACAGGGCCCACTTCTTTCAGAGCAGAAATCTACCCCTTTTATTTATTTTTAAAATCTATTTATTTATGTATCTATTTAATTGTCTAGCATAGAGTCTCAATATGCAGGTTGGACTCATAGTGATACTCATGTCTCAGCCTCCTCAACACTGGAGTTACAGGCATGTGCCACCATACTCGGTTTTGGTGACCAGCATGGCATGTGGCCGGCATGGCATGTGGTACTGGGGATCAAACCCAGGTCCTTGCACTTGCCAGGCAGGTGCTCAGAACATCGAGCTATTTCACCATCCCTACCCCTTTAAAAGTACAATGGATAATACACATATTTTCAAAGATTAGAATAATTGTAAAAAGTTGGTGAGTTTTTGAGTGTATTATCTCAGAAGCCATAAGCAAGAATGAGAGACTACATGGCCTTACAAGACAAATTTGTTTTTCACAGTTCTTCGATTTGGCATCCAAAGATTTCAGTAGTTCCCCAAGGAGTTCTTGGTTGCAACAGATGGTAGAAAATGCTGCTGCTTCTGTCCATAATTTTATTCTTTTCACCCCATCTTTTTGCATCAGGTTCTTAAAAAATATGAGTGTTAGAAATCAAACAGCTGCCTCGGAATTCCTTCTCCTGGGACTGACAGATGATCCGAAGCTGCAGTTTCTCATTTTCAGCCTGTTCTTGTCCATGTACCTGGTCACCTTTCTAGGAAACCTGCTCATCATCCTGGCTGTCGTCTCTGACTCCCACCTCCACACCCCCATGTACTTCTTCCTTTCTAATCTGTCATTTAATGACATCTGTTTGAGCACAACCACGGTCCCAAAGATGCTGGTTAACATCGAAACACAGGATCATAGCATCACTTATGCAGGGTGCCTCTCTCAGCTCTGCTGTTTCTTGATTTTTAGTGGCTTGGAAAATTGTCTTCTTGTGGTAATGGCCTATGACCGCTATGTGGCCATTTGTCACCCTCTGAGGTACACAGTCATCATGAAGCCTCAACTCTGTGTCTTGCTCGTTCTACTCTCCCTACTCATCACCTCCATGCATGCCCTGCTCCACACTCTGATGGTGCTGCGGCTGTCCTTCTGCACAGACCCGGAAATTCCCCACTTCTTCTGTGAACTTGCTCACGTCATCAAAATCGCCTGTTCTGATGCCTTCATTAATAACCTTCTGATATATTCTGTGGCTGGCCTGTTTGCTAGTGCTCCTCTTTTTGGAATCATTTTTTCTTACATTCACATCGTGTCGTCTATCTTGAAGATGCCATCCTTGGGAGGAAAGTACAAAGCCTTCTCCACTTGTGGGTCTCATCTCTCCATTGTCTCCTTGTTCTATGGGACTGGATTTGGAGTGTACATCAGCTCTGCACTGATGGAATCATCCAGGAGGGCTTCAGTGGCTCCAGTGATGTACTCTGTTGTCACTCAGATGCTTAACCCCTTTATCTATAGTTTGAGGAACAGGGACATGAACAATGCTCTGAGGAAGCACATCAGTGTGATAATCTGTGCTATAGGATGAGTTGTCTTTATTTTTGGGCTTGAGTAGGAAGAAAATGACAAGATTTATGGTGTGTCAATGTGCTGTCTTTCTCTCACTACACTTTTTAAAAATGAGTAAACAGTGTGATGAGTGATAAGGTGTATTTAACTTACCTTCAACTCCAAAATTGTTTGAAGTCTAATAGTGAAATTTAAGACATGATTCCATATTATAAATATAATTTCTTAAAAAAGTAAATATAATTTCTTTGCTCAAGTTACACAGAGACCGAACCTGCATCTGTGCTTCTAATTTAGCAGGTTTTTGGGTGGTGGCATAGTTTCCAAAGAAGGTGAGTTGAAAAGGTGGACATGGTAGGAATAGTATTTAAATGAATCTGTGTTTATGTATAGATAATGATTTCCACTTGGTTGTATAGTTAGCACTATGTGAATTTCATTCTACAATGAGCCCTACTTTGAATATCCATGGCTTATGAAGCAGACACTGAGCAAAGTTACTCATCAGTGGTTTGAAATAATTGTGTGATCTCTGAAATTGATTGGGGAAGATGCCTGCAGTTTTTCTAAGAAAAAGAAACTCAACATTAATAAATTCAATAAAGATAGATACTTCCATTACAAGGAGTTCAGAGATAAGCAATACATTAGAATATAGAGCTGGCCTTCATTCAAATCTCTTTGAGATGTCTTTACCATAGAGCATTAGATGACTGGACAAAATACTGGGCTTGTACCAGAGGCAGAGAACTCAGGATCCTTCCCTTAGTGCATTAATGTTTAATGTTTCCATGTGTTCATCATTCTTCATCTCTGTAATGAACTGAATGTACCCCTCATGATATATCCAGATCCTGTCCCTATAGAACATGATTATCTTATACGATACATGGGTTAATCTCACCTGTGTGGGAAGAGGGGATTTAAGAGGAGGTAATACAACAACTATTCTTAATTTTCTGTTCTTGTTTTGAAATTTTATACCATTTTTATTGTTCTATGTTGTTTTGTTTTTGTCTTTGTTCTTGTTATTAGTTTTTTTATCTTTTCCTCTCTGAAATAAAAAAAAGGAGGAGATTTTTTAGGTTATCTTGGTGGACTTTAAATGTGATCATGTTTCATTAGATGACAGACAAAAGAGTATAAAGGATGCATTTTAATTGTGGAGACAGATATTTCATTGATTCAGCCATTATTGATCACCAATACTGTGATGTGCCAAGCAATGAAGGAGAGGCTCTTTTGCCCCCCATTTGGCTACTTCATTCTGCTTTATATCAAAGTCTTGGATTCTGCTTCAAGAGGAGCTGTCTCCAAAACCTTCAGCAATAGCCAGGCATGGTGGTACATATCTGTAATCTCAGGACTTGGGAAGCTGAGGCAGGAGGATTGAAGCAAGGTTTAGGCCAGCCTGGAATACATAGTGAGTTCAAGGCCAGGCTGTATTATAAAGTGAGATCCTGTCTTGATGAGACTTGAAAAATTTGATATTAGTACATGTTTGTGGTAATAATGTTTGCATTCTTAAAGCAGGGTTGGTATTTGTACATGTTAATGCAATGAAATTTTCATGATTATTTATTTATTTTTGTGTTTGGTACAGGGTCTACAGGGTTTTACTACACAGATTGGACTCGTAGTGATCCTCCTGTTTTCAGCCTCCTAAGCACTGGGATTATAGGCACATACCAACACGCTCTCAGTGCACCTCAAGGGTGGGAACAGCACAGCACACAGGGGACAGAATGCATGGCAAGCCAGGGACAGAACCACTGGCCCCTGCATCTGCCTAAGCAGGCATTTTAGTCTGTTGAGCAATCTGGCCAGCCCCACAATTATTTTTATCTTTGAACATTCTCTTCAATATCTTCTGAAACATAATTTTATGTCTGGGGTGAAATTACTGGCCATGACAGAGAAACTTGTCATATATTGTTATGTCCAAAGTTTTCCTAAGTTATTGAAACAATTACCTTCCTATTAGATATTGCTGTTTTTAAACATCATTTCCCAAATACTTTCACTTATTCTGAAAATCTAATGCTTATAAAACAACACTAATTCACCCTTCTTTTATTATGAGGCTGAGAATCATTTGCCATATCATTGTCATTTATTTTACTTTCTTGTGATATAAACTTTTCAGACATTTGCACTGAGTTGCTATCTTTTAAAAAGTTGATAATATTTCTGTCATCTAATTGGGATAGTGATTTTTGGATTTTACACACGTTGCTAATTCAGCCATTAGAAGTGAATCTATTTTTCATGTGCTTTACAGTACTTATTAGGTGCTCACAATTTTTATTTTTAATATGATTTAATTTCTCAAGTTTTTCCTCCTCGTCTAAACTCAGTAAATATGGAAAACTTCATACTGAAATTCTAAAAAAAGAGTGAAATATCAATTAAATTAAACATTTGGCTCATTTTTATTACAGAGACTATAGTATGCAAAAGGAGATGCATATTTACTGATTCTTGCATAAAATTATCCCCAAATGATTTCATTTTCAAGTGTATTGACAATACTACTGCCTGGATGTGTGTGTGTGTGTGTGTGTGTGTGTGTGTGAATCTATCTATATTTCTCTGCTACTTTGAGTTTAAAGGTAATGATAGTCTTCTAGTATTATATATAAGGGCAGATATTACTCTAAAGATACCTAGGAGAAAGGGTATTTGAATCTCTTGAAAAAATAAGATGTGCTATATCAGTATGGAGATTCCTTAAAAAGCAAGGCTTGGTGATAATGCAATCTTGGAAACAACCCAAATGCCGATCAACTGAAGAATGAATAAAAGATAGATATTTTTACACAATGGAGTATTATTCAGCTATAAAAAGATAAATTTGAGGATTTTGTAGATACATGGCTGCAGCTAAAGAGTTTATTGGTAAGTAAATAAATCATATCCGCATGTGCAAACATCATATCTTGCTGGTGTGAGAACTTGAAAGAATAACAAAAATCTAAAGGTACAAAAGGTACTGTGAAGGGGAGAGAAATTCTTCATTGGGAAGGAAAAACTGGGATGAGAAAAAGGACAAATGAAAGAAGTAAGGTGCTGGCAAGATAGCTCAGTGGACTAATGCACCCATTTAGGCAAGTTTAGGCAAGTGCAGGGACAGTGGATCCCTTGCACCACATGCCGTGCCAGTCTCACCCTCAGGGCTCAGCAAGCCAAAGAGTCTGGGCATGGTGGCGCATGCCTGTAATCCCAGCACTGGAGAGGTTGAAAACAAGAGGATCACTATGAGTTCAAGCTGTGTAGTGAGACCCTGTAACAACCAAATACATTATAAGAAAGAAAGAAGGAAAGAAGAAAGAAAGAAAGAAAGAAAGAAAGAAAGAAAGAAAGAAAGAAAGAAAGAAAGAAAGAAAGAAAGAAAGAAAGAAAGAAGTGAAAAAGATACATTTAGGTATATATGCAGAATAGTTTGGATAATTGTATTGTCTATTTTTGCTGGTCTTTTGAAAGGAGCAGTTAATTCTTAAACTTTTTCTTTTTATTCTAATTTTTTGCCTCTTGAATTTTTCATAACTTCTTTGTTATTGTTTTGTTTTTCTTTAAATGAATCTTACAAATTTCTATCTGGTAATATGAACAACTAATTTGAAGATAGAATCATGTACTATAGCAACCATTGCTGAATTTCCATTACCTTTTTAGTGAAATCTTGTATCATTTCTAGTGATGGTTTCTTTTCTTCTGTCACTATTTTGTATTCTTTAAAAATAAACAAAAATATGTGCTTTTGTGACAGATGGGAGCAGAAATGGGTGGATGGAATCTCAGGGTGAGGGAATCAGGCAAATCCCAGTTGAGAAGAGTAACCCAAATTAGTACATCTCCATAGCACTCACCCAGCATAAAAGTTATCTCAGCATGGAGTCAATACCTGAGATTATGGAAAAATCAAAACATAAAAAAGATAGCTTCTCTTTTCTGATGTGTGGCTTGCTTTGTACACCAGCACCAAGAATAAATCATGGCAACAAGATTCCTGTTGAGTCCAAGTGTCTTGCTGTTCCACTACTATATTCTCCCAAAAGAATGAGCAACACAATGACTGGGGGCATTTGAGCATAGCTGAAAATTCCACCTTGCTTCCCTAACTGTGATGTTTCACAGGGCTTCAATTTACAAACACAATCTCTTTGCTCAGGTTTTACAGAACAGATCCTGAGGTAGGAATTCTAGCTTTATCCTTTAGAAATTTTTATTGTGGTGCACTCTTAGGAAGACACAAATTGGAAAATAGTTAAGCTGTGTATATTTCTAGCATAGCTCCTTCCTGCTCATGTGGTTAGAGCCATGTGCATTCTAGCATCAAATCACTTTTAAGTAACTGAAGTGGGCTGGAGAGATAGCTCAGAATAAGCACTTGCTCACTTGCCAAGCGCAAAGTCCTGAGTTCAATCACCAGTACCAAAAACAAAAAAGTAACTGAAGGGGACTAGGACCTTAATAGCCTCTGAAACAGTGACTGAGCCATGTTAGTGATCAACTGTAACTTTCTGAGTGAACAGGCTTGACACTTTTCTGTGTCATCCCCTATAATATTAGTATAATTAGTGATACCAGTGATTTGAGATGGTTATAGGGCAAGTGTAATGAAGCTTTCTTCAGTTCTGATCCCAAAATGATATATTAATATATCTACCAATATAAGGAGGAATAAATTCCCAAGGGAGAATAGACTATCATATAGCCAGGCTTTCACCATTCCCCATGGGGAGGTCCCTTCCTAAGATCACTTCCCATCCAGGTCACTCGGCAATAGTAGTTTTAAGTGATGTACCTGGACAGGAGAGACAGAAGAGTGAGTGTTCATTTTTAAGTCAATGATATGTAACTTCTCAATGTATCAACTATCCATAGTCTCTTTCATAAACTCACAAACCAGCCCTCAAAATAAGGTCCAGTACCAATTCTGGTAAGTTACGATGAACTCATATGATAAATGGATGAATGTTACAGGCTCTAGAGATGAGGATTTGCTGAAGAGAAATT